CACAAGTGCGCTCGGGTATAAAAATAGCTGATTGTGGTTCAATTACAAAATTTTATGTTTCAGCATTGAAAGCTGGATTTATTTATCTTCATTTCATTAGGCATCGATTACCGTGGAATTAGCTATATATCTGTTACTATTCCATGTTGTTTTTAGCTTTAGGCCCACTGTTGCTCATTTAGAGAATTTTGATTATGAAAATTTAGCGTAGTGATTGTCGGTCGGCAGGCAATGGCAACCCTCCGCTAGTGTATTTTTGCCTTGAAAAAACTCATAAAATTCATTTGCCGTTCGGAGGCGGCATAAAACTCCAAATCGCTCCATTTGTGTAACAACATCAAGGCGTCGTACTACATCAAAAATTGGAAGGGGGCTCGGCCAAACACTTAGTACAATTGTAAGCTCCAAAATATTATTTAGATTTTTACCATGCATTTGGTACAATTCATTTATACCTTTGGCGAAAATAAAAAATAAAATAAAAGCGCATCCCACTGTTTTAGTATTCAATTATAACTTATACTCCACCTTGTCATTTTAACCCTCCATTTTACATCTGGCAGCGCAAATTAATCAAATTTCTTTCGAATACCTAAATTGCTTGCAGCTCAAAGTCGTCAACATTTATTTTCCTTTTCTGCAAAATGTTTGTGCTTTCCTCTTTCCGCTTTTCAATTTCATAACTATGTATGTGTAGAAGAATGTATGCAACGCTTAAATTTGTTATTTATTGAAAACGTGTGTACATTCACTTGAAAACATACAATGAGGGAAATGGAATTTTTTTTTATGAATATATTAAAATATTTCCTCAAAAAATTGTACGACGAACCTCTAAAGAAAGTATTCCAGGGTAAGTCTCATTCGGGTACAGTTGCGCATTTATAGAAGAAACTAGTCTCATACGGGTATTTTTGGAGGTAAATAATTTGCTCCCATTTTGCAGGCATTGCACATTAGGGTGGTCCAAAAATGCATGCGAAAAAGTAAAGTCCCAATTTTAATGCTCTAACCCCTTAAGATTGTTCTATATTGAAAAAATTATGTATAAGAATTGCGAATAGCCACGTATTAAACAAAAATCTTTGAAAGAAAGTCCAAAATCATGACAGAAGAAAAAACCATTTCCATGGTGCCATCCAGACCAAAATTTATCGAAACATACTAGCTGAGCTATTCAAATGAACTTTAAACTACCTTAAAAAGTTCCCAAAAATTTTAATTAAAATGCCATTATTTAGAAAAAGTTGACTTCGTTTTTATTTGTATTCTTATACAAGTTCTCTTATGTTTAACTCAAACGAGCATATTTGTAGTTAAAATAAAGTCGATTAAAAATATTCGATTAAAAATTATGTCAAAAACCTCCAATTAATTTAAGTGTAGATTTTATTTCGACTATGAATATGTCCCCAGTTATTTAATGAAGAAAGGGGCTCCGCTCTAAATTGTGTGACAAGAAAAGCTCCAAAGAATACACGAATGACACCGAATTGAGACAAAATATTTTTTTACGGTAGTCATAAGTACACAAAATTGATTTTTTGTTTCCTATCATACTTCATATGTATGTATGTGTGAATTCCTTTATAAATATGTTAATGCTCCTATGTCACAAGGATTTTCATTCAATATTAAATGCACATCATGTTTATGTCAAAATAATAATAAATGACATTTATGACAAAGCTTCTGTGGCAATTATGCGATTTCATACAGCGCGAATGGGGGTACGCAATTCCCTTTAGTTCGAGTAAGGCTAAGGAATTTCGGAAGGTTTGGAAATTTATTAATAAAATCATAATTTGCTAAAATCAATACATATTGTGTGAGTAAATAATAGTTTTATTATTACATTAAAACTACACTAATTGTCAAGACAATGTACATACATAAATACTCGTATACTCCTGTTCTATAAGGAGTTAAATAGCCTTCTGCTCTACTCACACTATAATATTACGCATGTGAAATGGGATAAATTTTATGTTTTTCTTTTCCTCGTTTACTAAATAATTTTGTAGTGTGCTTGTAGTAACTTTTTTTAGGGCAATGAAGGCTTTTTTAAGGTTATAGACGCAACAAAGTCGTGCGCCATAGCGTTGGCGGTTTATGAATGAGTTACACTTTACTGCGTTTTTTTTTGTGATTTTTATATTGTCTTGCTATTCTATGTATTTTGTCCTTCGAATTTACTTACGGTTCGTTGGCTAATTAAAACGCATATTAACTAGTACGTAATTACGGTGCGCTTGTGTCAATCAACAAGGAGAGGGACAATCCAAATTTAGATTGCAAAAAAAAAAAGGTAAAAGCAAGAAAAATAAAATGATAAAATAGGTATACTAAAATAAAGTACGCCGTAAGGACGTCAAGGCCAAATGTTAATCATTGAAATGACTTTGGCATTCATAAATTAAATAATTACTGTTGCCGTTTGCAGTTTAGTAGGGCAGGGATACAAATGACTAGCTTAAACAGAAATGACATTCTATAATGGCACACACTTTTATACTTATATTTACGGCTCTATTCTGGTTGAGTGACAAATTCTTGTCACAGTGTTTTTTACGACAAAATATATGAAAAAGTTTAAATTACAGAATCGAGCTATTAGTCTGAGTTTTGATATTTTTTTGCTACTATAATCATTTGGATTTCTCTTTAACCATACATCTTCGTTCGATAAGTCAATGACTGCTTTGCTTTTATTTTATTTATGAATCGCGAATAAGTGGAATGTGTATGTATGGTTTGTTTTACAAAAATACAATGTCGTCCCCAAGTCGCTGGAATAGTTTTTTGTGTGCAACGGCAAACGATGTACAAACAAAAGCGCGGAAGACATAAGCCACATACATATTTACATACATACATATGTAGGCCGGTAATAAATTTCTTCATGACTGCTTATGAATGACTAGTATATAATAAGAGAAGTTCTAAGGTCACCATGACGTATAAGTAACGTACCTTCATATGTACTATGTATTAGGATGGTCGATTATTCGCCTTTTTTCTAGAGCCGGTTTTCGAGTTATTCGAAAAATTGCAAATTTGAAAAAAAAACGAAATTACGATTTTGACATTAAGAAAAAATCGGATAAATCGGTTGTTTTTTATATAGTTTTCCTAAAGTGAAAATGGTTATGTTGGTATGAACTTACGACCAAAAATTACAATAAATCTATTAACAGTAAAGATAGCAAAGAGCAAAGCAAAACAAGTTTAAAACATTTTTTTAGATAGAGAGTTCGGTAATTAGTTAGCAAAAAATTAGTACCAAATTTATCGGATTATTTTTTTAAATTACGCTGCATTTGCCCCGCTAGTGAAACGGACCCGAAACAAGGAGCTGTAAATAAAAATCCTCCCCCATGGTAGAATATAATTTCGTCATATATATACAAACATATAATTTTTATTATAAATTGGCTTCAAATACAATACCTGTCTTCGAAGATCTTTTTCTTAATGGATGTAGAGAACTCAAAAATCGACATTGCGAATACAACGGAGATAGTAGAGAGTTGGGGGCTTGATACTGAGTTAAGGAAATTTTTTAAGCAGCGGTTAAAGGAAAGATGTAGATGACGTTAAGATTAATGATAAAGATAACATGAGGATTAAGATAAAGATAAGGATAAGTATAAAGATATAAATGAAGATAGAAATAAAAGTAAAGAAAAAAAGAGATACAAATAAAGCGCGTTAGAAATAGAGGCAAACATTGAAAAGATCATAGAAAAATAATTGCATTGATAACGACGATATAGTTTTAGACTCATTTTTCCAATAATAAAAAATTCTATTTATGTATGCGGTGGCCAGAAATCACGACATTTCTAAAGTATCGAATCCGAACATATAATTTTGGTTTTAAAATAAAAACACACATCAACTTTTAATACAGTTTCTATAATTTCACTAAGTTAGATGGTTTGATAAAAAAAAGACAACAAACTTAACAAATAACTATAAAAAACGTTAAAAAATTTAAGCAAGAATGATGAGAGTCCCAGTTTGACGGAATAAAACACAACCAAAGATCACAGAAAGTTGGGATTCTAAGTGTGGTTTTGGTCCACAGTAAAAGAAGACTGCTAATAAATTAACCTTTGAAGACCGAATTGGGTTGGGTGGCGCTAAAACTTTTTTGACCGCGTATTATTATTCGTTAATCCTTAAATGTGAACTGGTATACAATTTGAACGTCATGATTTTTGGTTTGACCGTTATAAAATTTGGTTATAATTATTTACAAAGTTTCCTAACAAAAACCAAAAACATTTGTCAAGGTTTTAATTTGTTATTTCATTTAACTTATTATATTTTTTAAACTAGCCGTTTTGTTAAAAAATAATAATTTAGGTATTATGTGTATTTGTGTATGTGTTTTTAATGTTCCAGAACAACTTTATATTACACAAGTGGTCACAGCGAAAAGATGCTGAAAACTAATTGGTTATATAATTGTGGCAAGCTTTTTGCCTTCACAACATTCTAAAGTGTCAACTAAAACAAACCTTTATAAAAATATAATCCAAAAAAAAAACAAAATTTATAATTAATAATAATGGTGTTGCCTATAAGTAGCATCGGTACTCAAAGGGTTAATAAAGAAAACACTGAAAATCGGGATTTAATCGGTACAAATATGAAAAATCGGGACACTTCTTCGTCCCAGCTTTTAAAACATATTCAGCGTAACAATTTTCTCAAAATCTGTACTGCGCCGCCAAAATCGGTACGAATGGTCACCGTAACTATGTAGGAATGAATAATAATTATATTTGGCATTTAGTCGTATTTAAATACTGAGAATTTATGACTGTAGTTGTACTTGAATTTTACAGCACTGATGATTGCTAATATTTGCATAAGCTATTTTATGAGTTGAATCAATGTCATTCAACGTATTTGCTACTAGTAAATTATTGCTTAATTTTCGTAAGAAGTCTCTTTAATTCCTTTCATTTTAATTTCCACCCTATTTGCAGCCCACTCACAAAATCCAGTCCGGTCAAGGTGCTCCGACGATTTCGCTGCAGTTGGTGCCAAAAATGTTAGCACCATTGGCAAGCCTTTGGGTGCCGCATGCATTTGTTGTCTCATTCAAATTGGAAACTGACGAGAATTTATTGATTACCAAGGCGCGCGATAGTTTATACAAATACAATCATAAGGTGAGTGAGTACACGTGCACTTGAAATTGTATTAAGCAAGGCAGCCTAAAATATGTATTGTACTATACATATTTACAATATGTTAATATGCTTTTCCTTTACGGCATTCTTTGCCAATACCAATCATTAGCATTTCTATAGTTGGCTTTCACAATTCCGCTACACAACACACACAAACAACAAACAGTATATGCAGTTCATTGTGTTGTGCAATTTAAAATATCAATATTTGCATTTGTGGCCTGAACTCTGTTGGCTTGGTGGTCGGTCTGCCTGCTTGGTAATGACGGTTGGTCGAGCGGTCGAGCACAACAGCTAAACAGGCTACTAACACGCCAAATTTTCACAGCGCAATAAAGCTCTCCTTCTAGGTTTCATTAACATTTTACTATAGTATTTGCTTTGTTGGCGGTGCTTTGGTTGTGCTATGTGTTTTTAAATATGCTAACTTTGTAGGACGTTTTGCTTGAACTTAGCTAACTGGGATAATAATAAGGACTGTTTATAATAATAAGTAATTGTATATTTATATATGTATGTACATATCAGTATAGAGGAAAGGTCAATTTATTGATGCTTTAGTGCTTAATGAAGCGTCATAGGTTAGGTTATATTTGGTTATCAGGCTGCTTCCGTAGATGGAGGCCCACTTAAACACGACTGTGCTGTCCGTTGTGATGCCCATCAAGAGGAGAGAGTGAAAAGGACGCAGGGGTAGAAAAGAGGGGTAAGGTAAGGGAGAATGACGACACCTATGACTTCTTGTAAGAGAAACGCTCCGTGCTCGCACCGAAGCTCTTCAGTCGACTGATGTCCATTCTCGACAGCTCATCGGAGTGGGAGAAAAGTGCGTCCCAAGGTGCGCAAAGGCAGGGCACCAGAACAGCTGGTATTGAGATGATTCCACTTCATCATCTTCCATGCAGCTGGTGCAGTAAGGGTCATCGATGATGTTCAGCCTTACGGCACCAGTAACTCGCTTAGTCTGAAGAGCTTCCCAGACCGTCCCCGATCTGACCAGAAGGATTTTGCCACCTTGCATTCCATGAGCTTTGCTCAGCGCTCGCTGAGCTGACTACTGATTTTTGAGATTTTTTTTGTGACGGATTTATGCACTTTCTGCTATACCTATAAGCATAAATTTATTTTGAAATAAAATGCGGGAGAACATTAGCAACAAAATTTAAAAAAATCAACGCCAGACTTTGTAAATTGCACTTCTTATATAAAAAAAAAAACACGTAAAAGCAGTCTGCAAAAAAAATTCTTAAAAATCAGCGCGATTTTTTAGCCTGTTGAAACTTGCGCTTTGATGAAAATTTTCTAAAATTTGTATAAAGTTTGTAACTGACGGCATTTTTATAGAAATATAACAAAAAAATTTTGCTCAAAAAACGTTACGAATATTAAAAAAAAAATCAACACGTGGTAATTTGTTTGAGTCACTGTGCCAGAAACCAAAAAGAGACATGAAAGATATTTATTTTAGAATTTTTGTTTAGAATCTGCCTATGTATTTCTTCATATTCCATAAATTCAAAAAAAAGCGACTTCCATGAAAAATATTTAGGTGCTATGTGAATGTTTCGTGTGACAGACATAAAACGGGGAAAATATATACTAAACTACTTAATTTATAGCAGCCTCTAAGTTCAAGTGTCGTTCGTTTGCATGAGAAATGCGAACTAACTGCGTTTGCAGTAAAATTGCCACCCAAGTCTAGTGGGATTTCAATGCCAACATATTTTTTTTTTGTGTTTTAGTTTATTTATTTACAAAACTATTTTTTACAATTTCCCTTTTTTGCACTCGTGACCTTCACTTTTTGTGTACAAATGTAGGTATGAATATGAGTTTATGTACATACTAGATAGGCATGTTTTGAAAATCTACATTTTTCACACGCCATGTATTTACATATCGTCGCTTAAAGTACAAAACCGCGTAACTGACATTTGCTGCTGCCAAAAATTGGATTTGCTCAACAAACTCTTGGCTCAATCCTTATCCATTCGTCCTGAAATAGACTTGCCAGAAATGCGATTGCTTTATAAAAAAGAGAACCATTTTGAATATGATATGAGGGGTTTTAAGTCTCTAGAAAATAACTTTTGCAACCTCACATACGCGGTTTTGCATTTTGTTGATACGCGGTTTTGTACTTTAAACGACGATGTGTATGTATGTATGTATTTTCTTCTAAAACTGTCGCAATCACGTGCATCGAAGCCTGTGGCATGGCTTTGTATATGCAAACATCAATTATTTTTTAAATTTTTTATACATACATTAAGCCGTATCACGAAATATAAAATTTAAAAAAGTTTAACGTGTGTCAGTTTTATTTAAACACTTTGTCGAGAGAAAATTTTGGGTGTAAAAAATATTTTTAGGCACCCGCTAAAAACCGCTAAATCGCGTTTTTTTGCTATAACTTTCTTATTTTATATTCGATTTTTTAAATCTTAAGGTATGTCACTGAAAAGGTCTCGCTCAGGACTATGATTGCCCATTAAACAGTTTTGTCCTTCAAAACCGTTTTAATTCAAAACCTTCACTCATTTCGGAATTGCTATCCTTAGATTTTTATTTTTATACTATAAATTTAAAGCTCTCAAAAAAGTGTATATAAAAAAATTTACACACAAAATTTTTTCTCGACATACATATATTTATTCAAAAGACTGGCACACGCTAAACTTTCTTTTCGTGATACGTCTTAATGTACATACATGAATATGCATGTACAATATGTTGTTGTACATACATATGTGTTTTTACTTTTTGTTCGCGCCAACAAAACAACATTGCACTTAAACAACTGTCTAGGTACCTTTCTACAAATTAACAAGTGCACTTAGCTACTTAAGCGTCGCTCATATTTTTTTTGTATTTTCTATTTTCATATTTTCTCGCCCTCCCCCAGATGGTTATTGCGAATGTTTTACAGTCGCGCAAACATCGTGTCGTCTTCGTTACACCAACTATGTCCTACGAGGTGCACCTGAGTAGAGAACAAGCGCTGCAAGGACTTGAAATCGAGGAGCCCATTGTTGCCGACTTGGTAAGTATCACAAGCAGCTTTAACCACCCACCGGTTAATTTATTTAATTGTCGCGGAATATTCAATTACATAATATATTAGTTAATGGATTGTTTCCGTTTCACGCCACGATTGTTTCCATATTTTTGCCGTTTTTATTGTTTACAAAAAAAAAAAAAATGAGGTTAAGAGATTAACGTACTTTTAACCGACTTCAAAAAAGGTGGAGGTTATC